TCATTACTAATTTTTACAGTGCCTTAATCAGCATGTTCTACTGGTGTTTAGTATACATCCGTGAACGTTATTATTGTAAATACAAAAAGTAGACCAGTGATTATTCTACTAAAACAAAAATTATAAACACTCAACACAAACTACTATGGTAACTACTACATACTCTAGATAACTTTTGATAAAACTACTATAAATTACTCTGTCGTCTACTTCCAACATTTCTATTATTTTGGTAATGTGTTCTATTAAAATAAATGAAATCTATCAGACTAGTACTTGAACTTTGATGACTATTATCGTATTTTTTTTTGAAAAATATTGTTTTCTATTTTAAAAAATGTGACAATGAGGGACTTGAATCAATAAAATATGACTTGTTACTGTATTATAGACTGATCATGTGATCGGGTGTGCTAAATTAGTTGCCAGACAACTTATGAAGTTTTGACTTTCAGTTGTTTAGCGTATTTTATTTTTTTTTGTATAAATTATTCGCGTGTAAACATTTTTCTGTAATTTACGTAGAATAATTTATGTGAATTATATTTTATAATTATTTATTATAGATTCATCTGGTCAATCTGAGTCACAGTTGCAAAAAACCAAAGGTTAAAATAATATCAATAACCTCTCAAGGAGTAATAAATCTTGATGTTGTAAATTAGATACATTTTAGACACGATTTAAAAAGAGTTTAAAGAATTGCAACAACGCATTATGGACTGAATCATTTCCATGAGCGAATTGAAATGAGTGCCAATTTTGCTAATTTTCAGAAACAACGGGACAGCTGACGTATCTAATTAACGAATGACGCATGTATTATTCCGTTACGTTTTTTATGGAAAAATTAGAAACGGTTCTGTGTTTGTTAAACTTATTTTAAATCAATTAAGCTGCATTATACAATTTTTTAATCAGTTTTATGGTCGTTTTCTTTTTTGATTTATTTTTGGCTTTGAATCGGTGAAGGTTTTGAAATTGTTTGTATTCAAATTATTTCTAATAATTAATATTATGCTGGCCTGAACAAAGGCATTTTTGAACGAAATGCTTCTTTGTGGATCTTGCGTTTTTTGAGAGAATGAATAGTCTGTTAGAAATTTGTAGTAATTGTTTGAATAAATTGTTGTAAAAGTGATTTTTCATTTTTACTGTCTTGTTTTGTTATCTTCTTGTTTTCATTTTGAATTTTATTTATTTGAAACTAGGCAGATGTAATTGGAGGGAAGTTAGTAGTTTATATTGATAAAAAATTAAAAAGGAAGATTATGTCAAAAATCTAGACCTAGAGTCTCTTTAAAAATTGATTGTCTACGTGAATGATTATCACATTTGAGTATTTTTCATCATCATCACTCATCAGTGATTCACAAGTTATCTATTATCTTGTTTTTCAGATTTTTTACAATGTATTTAGAATTTTCGTAGGTTCTACAAATAATAAAATATGGGTATTACTTAAATACGTTTTGTAATTATACTTTGGTTATTTTATGTTACATGTTGTAAGATGGGTTATCATGGTGATGAAACGCAATACTCAATTTATTGTGATTTATTGCTTAATTTTTTACTGTGCTTCTGTTTGACTGTTGGTGCAGTCGAGTGTTCAAAAATTAAAAGGTTCCTGGTGTGATTTTAAAAATTTTGATTAAGAGAATATACAGGGTACGCCAGAACTCGCGCCCCAGAGAAAAATGCCATATAAGGTAGGATACCAGGAACATGTAAAAAATGTTAACAAAATTTTATCTATAAAAATTACGAAGTTATGAGGGTTTAAAGTTTGCACTTTGACTCTATTTATTTCTGTTGGAAAAATAATTTTCCAAGTTTTTTGCTATAGGCTATTAAAAGAGGAAACAAGGAAGCTGTATCCTAAATTGTAACTCTGTTCAATGTTATTTGTGGCTTTTATTGGCAAAATTTTTGTCCTTTTACTAAATAATTGTAAAAAAACATATACAAGATCATCAGTATCATTAAATAGATATTAAAAACTGTCAAATGTCAAAAAATTTTGACAGAGAATTTTTTAAACATTTTTTTCATGTTCCTGGTATCTTACCTTACTTGAAAATATTCTCTGGGGCGCGAATTCTGGCGCATCCTGTATAATTTGCTTTTCGTTTATCACAAGTAATGACAAAGTTTAAAACAAAAATATTTTTTTATTAATTAACGTATTTGAGTAATTTAGATTTTGTTGCAAATAATGAGGTCTTAGGACTATCTTTGTCGTTCAAGGTTAATACTTTTTTGTTATCTAGTATATTAAGATAAAATTTGATACTACAATTATTATTATGTATGTGTACATGTTATCACCACTATTTTTGTTGGCACGTTTATTTTATTACAATTTGCTGTACTTAAATGTGCTTGTATTTGTTATCTTTTACTATTTATTTATCTGATAATTCAGATAACTACTTTCATACAAAAATCCTCTTTTTTTTATAATTTTGTAGTAAAATAGTCAATTTTCTCAAATTTCTCGTAGAGGATTAACGGTCTGTTTTTTTTTTTTCAAATGGACTGTTTTTAACAGAGTAAACGGTTGTTAATCACGTCTACGTTTTCAATCAATGAGGATAAATACGTGCGTACAAGGTCGTGCCATTTTTCTTTTATTTTAAACAATTGTTGGCTTAATTTGACCTAGCTTTCCACTTTTTGTGGAAGAACATCTAGAAGTCGCATGGACTGAAATCAGGCAAACACGGAGGTAATTTTACTATAATACCTACATATCTATTATATTTTTTAGACAAAAATCGAGACTGATTTTTTTCAAAAGTCCATGTCTCATGCTTGCTCTTCGGAGCTTGTTTATTAGTTTTGGATATTGTTCGGAAAAAGTTTCGGGAGGTGATTCTTTGGATTAGTATAAGAAAAAAGTTTTTATGGACCTTTGCCCGGAAATGCTCTGTAAGGGGGCTAGAGCCTTCTGAAAATACCGAGCAAAAGTTTTTTTTTTTAATTATTTCAGTAATCGGTTGAGATACTCGTACATTTACAAAAATTTGCATCTGTGGTAATTTTTTATGGCTGAATCTACTAGTGCGATCAAAAATTATTCATCTTAATGAAGGGGGCACCTAGGTCTATAGAAACTTTTTTTTTGTATTGGTCTATCTATGGAAGAATTACCCTTAAATTCCTTTAACGTTTTTTCCGGACACTTGTATTGTTAAATACAATCTTGGACATTTTTTAAACTTATCTTCTACCCTCACAACTTTTATCTAGTTTTACAGCACAAACGACGAAGCAGCGAGTGCTGCTGAGTGAACGTCAGAAAATTGTTATTCTTATAAGAAGTTTGTATAAAATTTTTGTAACGAATCGAACAGACGTTTGAATTTTGTGGTTATGCGATAAAATTTTTAGAATATTTTTATTTATGCGATAAATCTAGCCAAGGAAATAATGCTGTTTTAGAATTATTGAAATTTTAGGAGAGTAAATGTGTGTTCTTTAGAATAACATTTATGCTTTAATAAAAATTTTAGAACTCGATTCATTTTCTTCTCAAAGTGTATGTTTTATAGTTTTAAACAGTAAGTAATATTAAAGTCAACTCCACAAATCGATCAATTTTATTTAGTCAAGTTGGGACATGTTTCGGCACTCTCGCCCTATGGAGAACGATAATAACAAAAAAAAATAATAATAATAATAATAATAAATATAAATAAATATTATTGTTCTCCAAAAATTTTCACGGAGGCTTCAGCTTCACTGACCTCGTCCTTTTATTTTTTTACAGAGGAATAATGTTTAAATCCTATTTTTTTTGTATATTTTTCCATTGGTTATAATCAGGAGAATTTTTTTTAACAGTGAACATTTCAATTTTTTAATCTTGTAATTTTTTTATTTTAAAGTGTAACAATTTTCAACGGCTGATGATGGCGCAAGGGTGCCGAAACATGTCCCAACTTGACTAAATAAAATTTATCGATTTGTGGAGTTGACTTTAATACTACTTATTGTTTAAAATTAAGAAAAATTGCTTTATTTCAACTTTTAACAGCTTAAAATTACAGAGTTTTTTTTGATATAGCACCATTACTTTATTTGAATTTCATAATCAAGTCCTCAAAGACATCTTTCCATTTCATATTAAATGCATACCACATTCTACATGTTAATAATATTTGAATTTGAGAAATTTGTTATTTTACAGAAAATATGCAATTTATGATTTTTTTAGAGTAAGCATTACTCAGCAATAGTATTTTCGGAACGGAAACCTTTTCGATAATGTCCATAAACCGAAACTTTTTAATACATAAATTGATAATTTGATAATTGTCATACTGTAACACAATCATAAATTAAAATACATACATTATTTTTTGTGACAAGTGCAATGATTATTTATTTTATTTTTACACACCTATATTTATATAAATGTTTTTCTAAAAACAAGTACATTTGTGAATAATATTTGATTAGTTCAGATAACGAATACACAAAGTTCATCTTTTAATTTTTCAGTAAATAAGTTGCTTCTTTGAAAGTATATGAATTACTATATTAATTGGTTTAGTAGACGTATTTTAGTCTGAGAAAAAGTCACTGTGACAATAAAGAGAATTAAATTAAAGTTTGATCTTTGTGATTGTACCTTGTTTGTTGTTGTTGTTAAAGTAATAATTGTAATAATATTTACATTTCATATTATTAATAGTCATCACAGGTTTTTATTAATAGCACAACTAGGTTACAACTTTATTGTCTTATCAGGAACCCATTTTAGCGAATATGATTGATGCTGATAAGAAGTTTGACAGGTTTCAAATACCCCTAATTCTAATTCTAATATGGGTGAATGACCAAAATGCGTACACACCTGGGGTGTTATATGTATAATTATATTGTTTGAAAAGGTTAAAAAATGTCAGTTTTATTTTGAACTAAATTTATGATTTGGGTTTATTGAACCAAAGTATTAATTAGGAGACCTTATTATTTTTTTTTTGTTTCAGACAGCACTCAGTATATTTTTTCAAGATGCAGCTTTACCTACCTGCCCACCAGGTGCTTCAGCACACTTTGGTCAAGTAAGTAGTAACTTTTTTCTTGTAATATTATTGAATCGGAAGATTTTTAAATATGTATTTTGTTAATTAAATTCTTAATAACATCCAGTTTTATTTAATTGCTAAGGTCGATGACTTTTCTAAAGAATCATGACCTGGAAAATGTGATTTATATTCCGATACAACACGGAAACTTCTTTTGATGCCTTTACATCGATCCAGATTTTGTACAGTTGCTATTGTTAGCACATTAATATTATACAAAGAGTAATATTTCTGAATCGACCTTGCCTAATCAATGTCGGTGGATTATTTTTGTAAAAGTCAATAATTTCCCACTCCACCTACGTTTGCGGACACACTTGACATTTGACTCTTTATAAACAAGATTCATAGGAAATGTTTCTCAGTTTTGTTTGGGCTTATGCAAGAGTCAACTGCAACTGGTGATAATTCGGTCAAGGGACGGCTGGCCGCCGTCCAGGCCGTCGGAATGCCGCTAACTATAGCAAGATTTGTCCCTGACAGCCAGTCAATTTAGATATTTTTTGTTTGAACAATTTTAAAACGATAATAATAAAAATACGGGGTTTGTTCATAATTTGCAAATTTTTGAGGTGGCATAATTGAATTTTATTTTATTTTATTTCGGTTTTTAGCATTTGACATTGACAACATCTCATTTGGCACTTAATTTAATCAACAATCTTGTTACGTCAAATATCAGTCAATCAATGTGGCATCTGGTTGGAATAGAATAAAATCTGTTGCGAAATTTAAACAATCATTCATATCATCATCCCTTATTACAAAAATAAAGATTTTTTTTGTCTTTAATAATTTTAACTTAAATGTTTGAAAACAATGTTATAGATTTTGAAGAACTAACCTCTGAATCGTCAACATTTGAATAAAGAAAATTGAGTTATTTAGACTTCTTGTGACCTCTGCTACCATCTCTTGAAAATACCAGCACAACTATTTATCCTGATGTATAATGACGATCAAGATTGTACGTAAACATTTTTCCAATGTGTCAATTTTATTATTAATATGTTATATGCAATTTATTTGGTCACAAAAATTAAACAAAATTAAAATTGGTGATGTAATTGTATGTAACTGTATTAAAATTTTATTTTTTACTCTTTAATAAAAACGAAATTTTAAATTAAACTTGGCTAATTTCTAACTTCTATTTGAAACCTTATAAAAAATCTTCAATATGGGCACAGTGCAACTTCTGTACTCCTAATTAGTTTTTTTTCATCGATTTAAGGTTAATTAACATTTTTTTAGGAATACTAGAGACAATTTAAAAAAAATCATACACAAAAAACAGAATGTTTAATAGCAAATGCTGATTTTTATAATTTATTTTTTGATATAACGTTGAAATGTACTTTTAATCTCGATTTTAACATCTACTCACTTTGTATGTTTTATTATACAGAGTGCGCCAGAACTCGCTCCCCAGAGAAAAATATAAGGTAATAAGATACCAGAAACATGGAAAAAATGTTGAAAAAATTCTATTTATAAAAATTTCTAAGTTATGAGAGTTTAAATTTTGCACTTTGACTATTTCTGTTGGAAAAATAATTTTCTAAGTTTTTTTTTGCTACAGGCTATTAGAAGAGGAAACAAGAAAGCTGTATCCTAAATTGTAACTTTGTTCAATGTTATTTGTGACTTTTATTGGCAAAATTTTTGTAATTTTACTAAATAACTGTAAAAAAACATATACAAGGTTATCAGTATCATTAAATACACATAAAAAAATGTCAAATGTCAAAATTTTTTGACAGATAGAATTTTTTAAACATTTTTTCCATGTTCTTGGTTTCTTATTTTACTTGAAATTTTTCTCTGGGGCGCGAGTTCTGGCACCCTTTATATTTTTTAGTAATACAAATATTTTTGTTGTTTATTTGAATTAAAAAAAAACTATTTTTATAATAATTTCTGACTTCGAAAAACCGATAATCCGGAGAATCTCTTATTCGGATTAATGAGGTTCTATTGTGCTTTTATAAGACGTGACTTGGTAAATCCCAATTCAAGGTAGAACAGTATAAAAATTTTAATAAACTTTCAACTTTCATTTTCTTAGTCAATAAATTCTGTTGATTTGTTTTGAATAAACTATTTAAAACCGTAGCAGCAATTGTTTTTGATTGTGCAATAGATTCAATTTAATCAATGTTGATGGAAAAGTCCATTAATAATTAAAATTTCATTATTTCTGTTTACAATAAATTCAAAATTACTTGGAAAATATGTAAGCATAATGTATCGTAATATTAACATAGATCTTAAATTTTTAAGTAAAACTATAAATGCAACTGCAATATTTTTAATTTTTTAAGTAATAGTAATAWTATTTTTAAATTATTTAAACTAGTTGTATTTGTTTTGATATAAAAATGCTTAAGKCAGTTTTTACAAGTATCTTTATTTCTCCAGCTCTTACATTTATGAACAACACATTTATGATTATTAGTTATAATATAACAAAAATAATTCGGATTTTTAACACATCTGTAAATGGCTGTTAAAGTAACATTGTTATATCTATGTTAAAACAAAACAGAANTAATTAAATTTCCCATTAATTTGTAAAAAAGTTGGCAGTCAAATACAAAACTTTTCATTGTTTGTTTGTAAACAACTACTAAAACTAGTCGGTTAATAAATTAATAATCCAATTTTTTTTTGTTACTTTAATCTTGTAGAAAAAATCAAGGTAGTTTTTTCGAAAGTTTAAACAGTTAACATAAATAGAAAATAAAATCAAAATCTTCTAGGTTTAATAAAGTTTTAATTTATTCGTATTTATTGATTATTTGTGTTATTTTGTTACTTCATAAAGACAGTTAATTTGATTGAAACGTTTTGTTTTAGGTGATGACGCCGTGCAACACGCCAGCGACGCCTCCGAATTTCCCCGACACCCTGCTAGCATTTTCTAAATTGTCGACGGGCAACGGAAATAGCCCGGCGACCAATAATAACAACGGGACCCCTCAAGCCCGTCAATCTCCACAGCCGACAACACAACAACGATAAAATGCATATATTYCTAGTGCACCCGAAATTCAGATGATGCTCAGAGAACTATATGTAAATTCAGTGACTGTTAGTGGATATYTTGTTGAAGAAGTACCTAATCATACTTCTATTTTGTTGAAGTGGATTTTTATTTTATTGATGAGGGTTGCCTCTAATATCAGTCCAGCTAGAAACGTAGATTTGATCAAGTGTAAATTCATTCACTGACAGAGTTCCTGCAAGTGCAACTAAGTAGGTTTCAGTTATATGTTAAGTATTTTAAATGTCAGATTTTGTAATTGGAGTATTCATATCTCACTCACAAAAGACAACACCATGGAATGTTGCAAATTTATAGCTGAAGTAATAATTACCTGATACAACAGCATTGACGATTCAAATAAATTTTCAATCATACTGTGATGGAGGTTTTTTTAGTACTGGAAGAGTATATTGTTTTAAAGATCTATGTTATTTATAGAACAACAAATAATAATTTATTACGAGCAAAACAATTTGATTATTTATTATGCACCAATTTAACAATTTTGAAACGACAGATATTTTCCTCACATGTATGTGTACACAATATGATTGTATATTAGAATAAGATAATTTTATTTGTAAAACTAGAAATAATTCAACAGTGTAAAATATCAGATCAAGAAAAAAATTTCTGTAGTTAGCTAATTCCATGTAAACTTTTTACAGTTCTGATATTTTTATACTGTGCCATCTGTGCTTTAAAAGTGCAGTATTAAAGTGGCAGAATAAGAAGGTGCTTTTTCTTCTAGTTCTTATAATTCATAGCTGGATTTAATGTAATTAATTTGTTTGTTATTTTGTATATATTTAGTTTAAGTTGAAATTGCGAGCCTATAACAGCTCATCTTCCTACTTTCAACAATATAATTACAATAATAAATTCAGTACAAGTTGCCTTTTATTTCAGGATTCTTCACATTTTACTTTGCATTGTATGTAATTACTTTGTTTCTACAGTATTGATAAAAAGAACAAATCTTGTGTTCATTTAAGCATTGAAGTTATTTCATACATATTTTTTGTTCTAGAGGAATACAAAATATTG